TCACCATGGACAGGACGTGTCCCCATGGCCAGGACGCGTCACCATGGACAGGACGTGTCCCCATGGCCAGGACGCGTCACCATGGACAGGACAGGACGTGTCCCCACAGACAAGACATGTCCCCATGGCCAGGACGTGTCCCCATGGCCAGGACGTGTCCCCATGGCCAGGACGTGTCGCCATGGACAGGACAGGACATGTCCCCACAGACAAAACGTGTCCCCATGGCCAGGACATGTCCCCACAGACAGGACAGGACATGTCCCCACAGACAAGACGTGTCCCCATGGACAGGACGTGTCCCTGTGGCCAGGACATGTCCCCACAGATGGGACATGTCCCCGCAGACAGGACAGGACATGTCCCCACAGACAGGACAGGACATGTCCCCATGGCCAGGACATGTCCCCACGGCCAGGACACGTCCCCACGGACAGGACATGTCCCCATGGCCAGGACGTGTCCCCATGGCCAGGACGTGTCCCCATGGCCAGGACAGGACGTGTCCCCATGACCAGGACAGGACATGTCCCCACGGCCAGGACACATCACCACCACCCCCACCGAGGCCACCTCACCTGTCCAGGAACCATCACCCAAATCCATTCGCGACGCCCACGTCCCCATCCCGGCCACCCACTCTTTGTCCCCCGCGCGTGTCCCCTGTCCCGCAGGCCACCCCCTCTCGGCTGAGCCATGCGGCATCTCCCGGTGCTGTCACCAGCAGAGCCATGAGCAGCTGTCGCCACAATGGGGGGGTGACACGTCCCCGCGTCCCCCTGCGCTCCTCCAGCCGCACCCCGCAGCCGCCGGACGGCGAAACGCAGCCGCTGCGCCCCAGCCCGCGTCTCCAGGTGGTGGTGTCCCAACCGGAGCATCCCGTGGGGACCGATCCCGGTCCCGCCGCGCTTCCCCCGGGACGGGAGGCGGCGGAGGAGCGGGCGGCGGAACCGCGGAGGAACCAGAACATCGGCTACAAGCTGGGCCACCGGCGCGCGCTCTTCGAGAAGCGCAAACGCCTGAGCGACTACGCGCTCATCTTCGGCATGTTCGGCATCGTGGTGATGGTCACCGAGACCGAGCTCTCCTGGGGGGTCTACACCAAGGTCTGGGGGGGCTCGGGGAAGGTCTGGGGGGGCTCGGGGGTCCCCGCGGGGCTGACGGCGGATCCGCTGTGCCCCGTAGGAATCGTCGTACTCGTTCGCGCTCAAGTGTTTGATCAGCCTCTCGACGCTGATCCTGCTGGGGCTCATCGTGATGTACCACGCCAGGGAGATCCAGGTGGGACAAGGAACGGGAATGTAGAATGGAAACGAGCAGAGGAGAGCTTTGTGTTCCGCACCTGGGCGTGGGGAATGCGGGGAGGGGAAATGGAAAGCAAAAAAACGCAAAAAACGCTTCGTGTTCTTGGGAAGAAATCGGTTTATCTTGAAAAGGAATCGGTTTATCCTGAAAAGAAATCGGTTTGTCTTGAAATTAAATCGGTTTTCTTGAAAAGAAATCGGTTTATCTTGAAATTAAATTGGTTTTCTTGAAAAGAAATCGGTTTATCCTGAAAAGAAATCGGTTTATCTTGAAATTAAATCGGTTTTCTTGAAAAGAAATCGGTTTATCTTGAAAATAAATCAGTTTTCTTGAAAAGAAATCGGTTTATCTTGAAATTAAATCAGTTTTCTTGAAAAGAAATCGGTTTATCCTGAAAAGAAATCGGTTTATCTTGAAATTAAATTGGTTTTCTTGAAAAGAAATCGGTTTATCCTGAAAAGAAATCGGTTTATCTTGAAATTAAATCGGTTTTCTTGAAAAGAAATTGGTGTATCTTGAAAATAAATCAGTTTTCTTGAAAAGAAACCGGTTTATCTTGAAATTAAATCAGTTTATCCTGAAAAGAAATCGGTTTTCTTGAAAATAAATTGGTTTATCTTGAAATGAAATCAGTTTTCCTGAAAAGAAATCGGTTTATCCTGAAAAGAAACAGGTTTTCTTGACAAGAAATCGGTTTTCTTGAAAAGAAATTGGTTTATCTTGAAAATAAATTGGTTTTCTTGAAAAGAAATCGGTTTATCCTGAAAATAAATCGGTTTTCTTGAAAATAAATTGGTTTTCTTGACAAGAAATTGGTTTATCTTGAAAAGAAATCGGTTTATCTTGAAAAGAAATAGTTTTTTTTGAAAATAAATCAGTTTATCCTGAAAAGAAATCGGTTTTCTGGAAAAGAAATCGGTTTATCTTGAAATGAAATTGGTTTTTTCTTGAAAAGAAATCGTTTTTGTGCTGAAAGAACTCGTTAAAGAGGCAGGGAGAAAAGAGGAATAAAAAAGTTGTGGAATGGAAGAAAAAACTTTCATATGAAATAATAGTAATAATAGTAATAGTAATAATTGTAATAATAATAATAGTAGAAATTATTTTTAATAGTAATAACACTAATATAATATAATATAATATAATATAATATAATATAATATAATATAAGTATAATATATATAATATTATATATAATTATATAATATATAACACATACAATTATATATAATATATATTATATTATATACATTATATATATTATTATATTACATACAATAATATACATAATTATATATATAGATATGATTCTAATAAATACATTTAATTTTAATTCATTATTTTTTATTAATTTAATAAACATTTCATTCAACCTGTTTAATTTTAATTAATTAATTTTTATTTATTAATTTAACTGAACCTCTTTATTCTTAAATAAACATTTAATTTAACCAATTCAACCCATTTAACTTTAATTCCCTATTATATTTATTAATTTAATAAAAATTTCAATTAACCAAATCAACCCATTTAACTTTAATTCACTATTTTATTTACCAACTTAATAAAAAAATTCCAATTAACCAAATCAACCCATTTAACTTTAATTCACTATTATATTTACCAACTTAATAAAAAAATTCCAATTAACCAAACCAACCCATTTAACTTTAATTCACTATTATATTTACCAACTTAATAAAAAAATTCCAATTAACCAAACCAACCCATTTAACTTTAATTCACTATTATATTTACCAACTTAATAAAAAAATTCCAATTAACCAAACCAACCCATTTAACTTTAATTCACTATTATATTTACCAACTTAATAAAAAAATTCCAATTAACCAAACCAACCCATTTAACTTTAATTCACTATTATATTTACCAACTTAATAAAAAAATTCCAATTAACCAAACCAACCCATTTAACTTTAATTCACTATTATATTTACCAGCTTAATAAAAAAATTCCAATTAACCAAACCAACCCATTTAACTTTAATTCATTAATTTTTATTTACCAACTTAATAAAAAAATTCCAATTAACCAAACCAACCCATCCAATTAATTTCCATCACCCACCCTCCCCTACCCCAGCTCTTCATGGTGGACAACGGCGCCGACGACTGGCGCATCGCCATGACCTACGAGCGCATCTTCTTCATCTCCCTGGAGCTGCTGGTGTGCGCCATCCACCCCATCCCCGGCCAGTACCTGTTCACCTGGACCGCCCGCCTGGCCTTCACCTACGCCGCCTCGGTGGCCCACGCCGACGTGGACATCATCCTGTCCATCCCCATGTTCCTGCGCCTCTACCTGATCGGCCGCGTCATGCTGCTGCACAGCAAGCTCTTCACCGACGCCTCCTCGCGCAGCATCGGCGCCCTCAACAAGATCAACTTCAACACCCGCTTCGTCATGAAGACGCTCATGACCATCTGTCCCGGCACCGTGCTGCTGGTCTTCAGCATCTCCTCCTGGATCATCGCCGCCTGGACCGTGCGCGTCTGCGAGAGGTGCGGGGAGGGGTCCTCGCCGGGGGTGGGGGTCCTCGGTGGGGCTGGGGATGTGGGGCTGAGGATGTGGGGCTGAGGATGTGGGGTTGAGGATGTGGGGCTGAGGATGTGGGGTTGAGGATGTGGGGCAGAGGATGTGGGGTTGAGGATGTGGGGTTGGGAATGTGGGGCTGAGGATGTGGGGTTGAGGATGTGGGGCTGAGGATGTGGGG